ATATATATATATATATATATATATATATATATATATATATATATATATATATATATATATATATATATATATATATATATATATATATATATACAGTAGTTGCCCATAACGCGGTCAATTGAACCCACAGTGTACCGCGTTAAGTGACATTTATATTCAAAATATTCCTGGTCTTACAAGGAATCCAGCAATGTCAATTATATTATCCTAACTTTAGTTTGAGGTATTATTTATTAAAATTTAGTGGTTATCCCACACATCTCCTTGGGACGGTTGGTGGGGGGTGGGGGGGAGGGAGGGACCAACCGACCATCTGTTACCCTGTGAAGAATTATTATTATTTTTTATTAACTGAAGATATTTGTTTTAGCTCATAAAATTCATACAAATTACCCGGTCAGAATATAATTTACATTGCTGGAATTCTTATAATTTGGTGATCATTTTGAATATAAACATCATAGATTTTGCTTTAAACTTACAATTTTTAGATAAAAATTTTTCTCTAGGTAACTATGGTATCTTTTGTGCAAAATATATGACATTTATATTCAAAATATTCCTGGTCTTACAAGGAATCCAGCAATGTCAATTATATTATCCTAACTTTAATCTGAGGTATTATTTAATACTAAATGTTAAAAACTCTGGAAGGGAGGATTGGTGGGGGGTGGGGGGGAGGGTTGGGACTGACCGCGCGGTTGGAAGAGGGGGGGAGGCAAGGTGGGGTACTTTGATTGACAGATAGTGTCGTGAAGATTATTTTTTTTTTATTAACTGAAGATATTTGTTTTAGCTCATAAAATTCATACAAATTACCCGGTCAGAATATAATTTACATTGCTGGAATTCTTATAATTTGGTGATCATTTTGAATATAAACATCATATATTTTGCTTTAAACTTACAATTTTTAGATAAAAATTTTTCTCTAGGTAACTGTTATCTTTTGTCCAAAATATATGACATTTATATTCAAAATATTCCTGGTCTTACAAGGAATCCAGCAATGTCAATTATATTTTCCTAACTTTAGTTTGAGGTTATCCCACACATCTCCTTGGGACGGTTGGTGGGGGGTGGGGGGGGGAGGGAGGGACCGACCGACCATCTGTTAGCCGGCTGTGTAGTGTGAGAGGGGGAGGGAGTTGAGTCCATTATTTGAATGGACATTAACTTGGCGACTGTATTTCTCTATTTCTCTTAAGTATTAATTGTGTGCATGTACCATCATAAAATTAAGATGTTATTTTTACTACAACATAGGTATGTGCCTTCAAAAAGTGGAGTTTGGGGGTCGGGCCGGTTTCTATTGGAATTAATCCCATATGTTCTGTTGTTCACTTAACGCGGATTTCACTTAACGCGGGACCCTCTGGGTTCAATTGACCGCGTTAAGTGGGGTACAACTGTATTCAAAATGATCATCAAATTATAAGAATTCCAGCAATGTAAATTATATTCAGACCGGATAATTTGTATGAATTTTATGAGCTAAAACAAATATCTTCAGTTAATAAAAAAAAAATAATTCTTCACAGGGTAACAGATGGTCGGTCCCTCCCTCCCTCCCCCCCACCCCCCACCAACCGTCCCAAGGAGATGTGTGGGATAACCACTAAATTTTAATAAATAATACCTCAAACTAAAGTTAGGATAATATAATTGACATTGCTGGATTCCTTGTAAGACCAGGAATATTTTGAATATAAATGTCATATATTTTGCACAAAAGATAACATAGTTAATTTGAGAAAATTTTTTATCTAAAATTTGTATGTCTAATGCAAAAATATGATGTTTATATTCAAAATGATCACCAAATTATAAGAATTCCAGCAATGTAAATTATATTCTGGCCGGGTAATTTGTATGAATTTTATGAGCTAAAACAGGCAGTCAGGCAGGGTGGGGCAAATCTAAAAATAGCGTCTCGAGCCGGACACTCACCGCGTATATGTGGAAAAAATCCGTGTTAAGTGAAAGTTCAGCTCTGGCGAGGCACCGCGTATATGATAAAACGCGTTAAGTGAAACCGCGTTAGGCGGGGTAATACTGTATAAACATCATATATTTTGCATTAAACATACAAATTTTAGATAAAAATTTTTCTCAGAGTAACTATGTTATCTTTTGTGCAAAATATATGACATTTATATTCAAAATATTCCTGGTCTTACAAGGAATCCAGCAATGTCAATTGTATTATCCTAACTTTAGTTTGAGGTATTATTTATTAAAATTTATTGGTTTTCCCCCAAAAATTTCTCTGAGAGGGAAGAGCCGGCAGTGTAGTGTGAGAGGGGGAGGGAGTTGAGTCCATTATTTGAATGGACATTAACTTGGCGACTGTATTTCTCTATTTCTCTTAAGTATTAATTGTGTGCATGTACCATCATAAAATTAAGATGTTATTTTTACTACAACATAGGTATGTGCCTTCAAAAAGTGGAGTTTGGGGGTCGGGCCAGTTTCTATTGGAATTAATCCCATATGTTCTGTTGTTCACTTAACGCGGATTTCACTTAACGCGGGACCCTCTGGGTTCAATTGACCGCGTTAAGTGGGGTACAACTGTATATATATATATATATTCACAATATTTTATAATCGCAGTCATGGACTGAATATTCTATGCAAAAAATATAAATTTTAAATTAATTATTTCTAGTGTGGTCGACTTCCTACACAAAGACAGGCTATAAATAGCCTTATCTCCTCTCCATCTGTTACCCTCTGTTCTGAGAGAGAAGGTCTTGGTAAATAACTTTTGTTTGTATATTTTCATAGTTTGTCTAATTTATCATGTTGTATCAAAGAAATATTACTAAAAGTTTTAGGCAGCTACCAAACAGGGAGATTCTACTGCCTGGGAAGATATTGGAAGCATAATGTACAGTATTGTCTAATGGTAGACCCTACCAGTACTTCCATATGGCATCACGAAAATTGTGACCAAGTCTTAGGTTGCTGATTTATCTTTCTGCCTCATTTACACACAATTGCAGAGTTTCAATTGTTTCTCTTCCTTTGACAACACAACATACATACAATATAATGTTTCTCACCTTTGATCTTTTTTCCATTTATTTATGATTGGTTATTTAAAATAATGCCAATTCACTTCAAGTATTGGCATCAAATTTTACCGGCTGGTGTACACTAGTGACTCACTTAAGCGGCAGTTATTTAATTGGAACTAATGTTGGTGAGTAAAATATTTCCATTTACTTGAAATAGATTTGCCGATTTATTTGTTTATTTATTTATTTATAATATACTGTAATACATTAAACACACTGCAAGCATTTTCTTTAATTTATATACTTGTTTCGCGAAAAAGGGAGGCTACCATTATAACTGGTAGGTGATCATTAAGGACCAAACTCCGAATCCATGACGTGACTTCTGTTAATCATTCTCATCCTAAATTTACCACTGTCGGTAGTTTCAAGAATTAACGCAGTCATATACTGAATATTCTTTGTAAAAAAATAAATTTTAAATTAATTATTTTTAGGAGATAAGTATTATGATCAGTAAATATACAGATATGCATTACTGACCACCTCCGAACACAAGGACGGCTAAAAATAGCCACAGGCGGTCACAGTCAAGGTCACTTTCCCTTTCTTGTCACTGGCAAATGGGGGTGGGGGGGATGATAATAGCAGCTGTGTTTATTACGGTATGTTAGACAGGTTTATAATACATTTTTATTATTTTAATATACCGGTAATCTTCATTTTAATCCAGCTTCCCAAACGTAAGTTTCAGTATAAAATAATTAATGGTAGGACTTTGTGAGTGGTTTACCATGTTTCCATCACCACTCTTGACACGCTAACCCGCAATATTTAAGAGGTAAGAATTTTATCTCTGGTGCTTAAGACGACCCCCTAACTTTGGGCTGATTTATTTTTTTTGTTCAAATTCCGTCTCGTAGGCCGAGATATACGGTACCCAAAAACCCATTGAAACAATGGTTTCGGTTAACGAACTTTTCGGTTAACGAACGACCTTCTGGAACGGATTGAGTTCGTTAACCGAGGGGTCACTGTATTGGCGGACTAATACTATGGCTGGTGAGCACGCAAAAGCAGGAGAAAACATGTTGGGAAAATTTTGTAAGGAATTTGTTAACCAAAATTTTTTCGTTAACCGAAGTGAAGAATCTTATGGAAGGTAATTCGTTAACCGAAATTTCGTTAATCGAGGCGTTCGTTAACCGAGGGATCACTGTAATATAAAACTATAATGGATATGGAGAAATCATTTCAATACTCTAATGTGACTTAGAAATAAAGAAAATGTAATATAAAACTATAAAATAAGAAATATGAAGAGCATTAGTGTGTATTATGTGTGGGAGGTGATCATAAATGTGGAAGCAGTGGACAGTCTGTCAATATCGTATCTGGTGACTCGGCTGGTTAGGTCTATTTCGGTTTAAATGTGCACCACACAACCACCTCTGCTTAAGTTTACTTTATCCTCTTTGCCACTGATTGTAAAGTTGATTTCAGCAGAGAATATTTAGGAAAATAATGAAAGCATAATAAAGCAAAAATTATACAAGATAGTGCACACACACACACACTGCATCACAGCTCAGCCTGCACGTGCTGCCTCTGGCAAAAGGGTCAGTCAGCAGAGGCACACAACCCAAACTCCCTCCTCTGCTCAGTGCCACTCTGGCATACGAAGAAATGTTTACTCCCTTTATGTTTTTCAAAAATGTTAGCTTTAAACATGTTGGATATACACTAGTCATAAACAATGAGGGCAGTTGTTGAAACAATGAACTACACGTACTACAGGTGGCAACTTAGGCACAGAGAGCAGCTGGTGGAAGTATCTCCCCCAGCCATACACTATCTGCGCCATTCTTTATATTTCCCAAGCCAAGCACGTAAAGTTGAATGCTCATAAGTTTAATGCGCATAAGATGCGACACAACTGTAAACTTAATAGTTAAAACAGAAATACTTATACACAACCTTTTTGATGTTAGAGTTAGCATCTGTGTTCTCTGTGAGGACTTGGAGAGTGTGTGTTGATGTTCCTTTGTTATTCTTCTTCACCAAATACTTCAACATGTTCTCCTGAAAATCATATATTATTAAATTATATCATTTTTGTTTCGTGACAAGCATAAAATATTTTGTTATTAATATTAAATATTTTAAAATAATTTTTTTAGTTTTCATTAATTAATTCCACAGTAGAATAATTTCTCCTTATAATGCACGTCACTTCCAATGATCTGACTATCATCAGCACCATTACAATAATAAAAAAGCAATACAGTGGTCCCTTGGTTAACGAACGGTTCGGTTAACGAAATTTCGGTTAACGAATTACCTTCCATAAGAATCTTCAATTCAGTTAAGAAACAAACATTTGATTAACGAAATCCTTACGAACATCACGTTTTGTTGTGAGCATCAGCTGATGGGCTAGTCTGCCAATTCAGTAATGTGTTCTATGTTTACATTTGTTTCCAGTGGAGTACATATTAAGAAAATTTTGCTCTTTAATATTTGTGCATTTTTTATATTAAAATTATTGGTCATTCTAAAATTTAGCCATCCAAGCTCTGTCTACATAAAGTTTTTCAACTATTATTTTTGGCTTGATAAATGTAACTTTATTCATTTATTGAAACTCATTTACATGCACACACTGTCCTAAGGGCAAAGCTGAACTGTACATGTAATCAAAATAATGTACAGTTGTACCCCACTTAACGCGGTCAATTGAACCCAGAGGGTCCCGCGTTAAGTGAACAGCAGAACATATGGGATTAATTCCAATAGAAACCGGCCCGACCCCCAAACTCCACTTTTTGAAGGCACATACCTATGTTGTAGTAAAAATAACATCTTAATTTTATGATGGTACATGCACACAATTAATACTTAAGAGAAATAGAGAAATACAGTCGCCAAGTTAATGTCCATTCAAATAATGGACTCGACTCCCTCCCCCTCTTCTCACAGTACACTCGCTGGCTCTTCCCTCTGAGAAATTTTGGGGGGAAAACCAGGTATAGTAATAAATAATTCCTCAAACTAAAGTTAGGATAATATAATTGACATTGCTGGATTCCTTGTAAGACCAGGAATATTTTGAATATAAATGTCATATATTTTGCACAAAAGATAACATAGTTACTAGAGAAAATTTTTATCTAAAATTTGTATGTTAATGCAAAATATATGATGTTTATATTCAAAATGATCACCAAATTATAAGAATTCCAGCAATGTAAATTATATTCTGACCGGGTAATTTGTATGAATTTTATGAGCTAAAACAAATATCTTCAGTTAATAAAAAAAAAAATAATCTTCACGACACTATCTGTCAATCAAAGTACCCCACCTTGCCTCCCCCCTCTCAGTCCCAACCCTCCCCCCCACCCCCCACCAATCCTCCCTTCCAGAGTTTTTAACATTTAGTATTAAATAATACCTCAGATTAAAGTTAGGATAATATAATTGACATTGCTGGATTCCTTGTAAGACCAGGAATATTTTGAATATAAATGTCATATATTTTGCACAAAAGATAACATAGTTACCTAGAGAAAAATTTTTATCTAAAAATTGTATGTTTAATGCAAAATATATGATGTTTATATTCAAAATGATCACCAAATTATAAGAATTCCAGCAATGTAAATTATATTCTGACCGGGTAATTTGTATGAATTTTATGAGCTAAAACAAATATCTTCAGTTAATAAAAAAAAAAATAATTCTTCACAGGGTAACAGATGGTCGGTCGGTCCCTCCCCACCCCCCACCAACCGTCCCAAGGAGATGTGTGGGATAACCACTAAATTTTAATAAATAATACCTCAAACTAAAGTTAGGATAATATAATTGACATTGCTGGATTCCTTGTAAGACCAGGAATATTTTGAATATAAATGTCATATATTTTGCACAAAAGATAACATAGTTACTCTGAGAAAATTTTTTATCTAAAATTTGTATGTCTAATGCAAAATATATGATGTTTATATTCAAAATGATCACCAAATTATAAGAATTCCAGCAATGTAAATTATATTCTGGCCGGGTAATTTGTATGAATTTTATGAGCTAAAACAGGCAGTCAGGCAGGGTGGCGGGTGGGGCAAATCTAAAAATAGCGTCTCGAGCCGGACACTCACCGCGTATATGTGGAAAAAATCCGTGTTAAGTGAAAGTTCAGCTCTGGCGAGACACCGCGTATATGATAAAACGCGTTAAGTGAAACCGCGTTAGGCGGGGTAATACTGTACAAAATTTTTGTCTAGTGCAAACTATGGCATGTTTACATTCAAATTAATCACTATCTTATAAGAATTCCAGCAATGTAAATTATATTCTCCCCGGTCACTTCTATTAATTTTTATAAGGAAAAAACAAAAACTCAATCTAAAGGACATAAATAAACAAATAAATACTTTACTAGACCTTCGGTGTCACTGTCACCTCTCCCCTCCCAGCAAGGGTTTGGTGGTTATAAAGTAGGCTTTAAGTTTTTATCTTATATAATATCTCAGACTAAAGTTAGGAGAATATAATTTGCATTGCTGGAATCCTTGCAAGACATCGAATAATTTGAGTATAAATGTCATATATTTTGCAAAAGAGATAAAAATTAATCACCTGTATCACATTACAGTAGTGATTTAAGAGTAAAAGTGTATATGTACGTATATATATAGTGATTTAAGGGCGATTTAGGGGAATTTTAGGGGTGTTTCTGGCTTTACTTTGTACGTACTTTTTTGTGAGCTGGAACCAATTACCCAATATCCCATTGAAATAATGGATTCGGTTAACAAACGATTTTATGGAACGAAATGCGTTCGTTAACCGAGGGACCACTGTATGATATCAGCTCAAGTTTGAGAATTAGGAGGAAAAGAGTGTGTGTGTGTGTGTGTGTGTGTGTGTGTGTGTGCGTGTGTGTGTGTGTGTGTGTGTGTGTGTGTGTGTGTGTATGCATGTGTGCGTGTGTGCGTGTATGCGTGTGTGTGTGTGTGTGTGTGTGTGTATGTGTGTGTATGCGTGTGTGTGTGTGTATGTGTGTGTGTGTGTGTGTGTGTGTGTGTGTGTGTGTGTGTGTGTGTGTGTGTGTGTGTTTGTTATTAACGGTTATGTGGCAGTGGGTCACTTGGGAACTAAATACGGTAAGGTTGGGAGTGGGGTCACGGGCAGAATCCCTCGAAGCCCCAAACTCTCCAAAAGCCGTAACTGAAATTTGCCCGGAATTTTTCCATAAAATTTCCTGAATGCCAGGTTTGGGATCAAATTTTGAGGTTGAAAGAGAAGAGCATTTTCAGAAAGTAAAAAATAAAAAATAAATGGAAAATCTGTCCAAATTTTTTATTTGTCAAAAGGCCCTAATTCTGAGCAGCATATTACTGTACTTATTTTGTACTCAAATGTACTATGCTAAAGGACTTAAAGTTTTAAGCCTAAAGCCAACTTTACCCTCAAACCCCTTATCGCCTTCTGGCTGGGAGGCAAGGTGTTGACAGCCAGGCGGGGAGATTATCAAGTTACATAGTACATCAGCGGAGGGGTTCAGGAATAGGCTATACCTGTACAATACAGTTTAAGTTTTTCGCTTATAAAATGTCACTGACTTGCAAGATAAGAGATTAATTTAAGTATAAACATCCCATAGTTTGCACTAGACATAATAATTTTAGTAATTAACTTAGTACATTTGAGTACATCACCTCACCACCTGACACCGTCACCTCACCACTTGACTCCGTCACCTCACCCCTTGTCTCGTTAGCTCAGCTCAGAATTTCACTTATTTATTACTGCATTATTTCACTTTTTTAGCAGTGTACTACACTGTATGTACATATAAAGAAAGTTATATTTGCACAGTAATTATAAATAGACCCAGAGCAGAAAAATCCATGGTTTCCCAAGTGGTTGGTCTTCCCACCCACACACACACCAACCATGTGAGGAAGTGGTTACACATGATGCAATCTTTCAAAATGCCGGGAACTCTTGTCCCCGGGCCCTTAGCAAAAAGGCTTGGAGTGATTTTCTCAGATTTTCCGGTACAGTAAATGCGCATTATATTTCATAATCGATATTTGCTCCCAGACTCAGAAATAAAAATTTGAACAGATTTTCCACATTTTTTCTCAGAAATTCCCGATTTTCAACCTCGGAATTTGTTCCCAAACCCAGAATTTAGGGGATTTTACGAAAAAAATTCCGAGCAAATTTCAATTCCGGCTCTCGGAGAGTTCCAGGTTTGAGGGAGTCCGGCTAACGAAGATATTACTGTTACAGTACAGTGGTCCCTCGGTTAACGAACGGTTCAATTAATGAAATACAGTTTTACCCCGCCTAACGCGGTTTCACTTAACGCGTTTTCGCATATACGCGGTGCCTTGCCAAAGCTGAACTTTCACTTAACGCGGGTTTTTTCCACATATACGCGGCGAGTGTCCGGCTCGGATGCTATTTTTAGATTTTGCCCACGCGCCACCCGCCCGCCCGCCTGCCTGCCTGCCTCTCCCTCCTCCTCCCTCCGCTTGGGCAAGCGGCGCGGTAAGGTTGCGCAGTGTGTGTCTTTGTTGCGTTATCACTGACGTCATATGACGTCTCGGACTGTGATTGGCCATGCAGCCCTACCCCCCTCTGCTGCTAGCTGTAATTGGCTTAAAGTATTATGACGTGACTACCCCGGGGAGGGAGGGAGGGAGGAGAGACGACGCTTGACCTAGCCGCGGCAGTTTCATCCCTCAAGGCCACCCCGGGTTAACGCGCATCCATTGTTCCGTAAAATGGCTTCCGCCGGACCACCACCGCCCCCAGAGAGAGACCTTTCCTCACCTGGACCCAGCGGCACTAAACCAAAGAAGACACGACGTTCATTAAGCTACGAGGTGAAGTACCAAATTGTTCAAGATTTGGAGAAAGGAAGACGCCAAGTTGATCTCGCGCGCCAGCATGGCGTCAACGAATCTACGATTCGTACAATCAAGAAGGATGCAGCCAAGATCAAAGACCACATGAAAATCACAAAGTCTGCAGGTGCTTCATCTATCAGGTATTGCCAGAACAGGGTGCTGGCAAAAGTGGAAACTTTGCTGGCGAGTTATTTGGTGCGTCAGGCGCGACGCAACATGGCGGTGGACACGCGCTCAGTGCAGGAGTACGCACGTGAGCTATACGCAGCAGTGACACGTAAACTGGGAATTGCAGAGCCCAAACCCTTCAATGCTTCCTCTGGTTGGCTGCATAGGTTTAAGAAGAGGAACAAGGTCAGCAACATCAACATTGGTGGTGAGGAAGCGAGTGCTGACCGTGCGGCGGCTAGAGATTTTCCTCCGTTTTTACGTGAGATTATGGAGGAAGGACAGTACAGTGACGACCAGGTGTTTAACATGGACGAATCTGGTCTTTTCTGGAAAAAGTTACCTTCCAAGACCTTCGTTGTCCAGTCTGCGAGCAAGGTAAGGGGCCGGAAGATGCAGAAGGAACGCATCACCGTCCTGTTTACCACCAATGCCTCCGGTACCTGTAAACCAAAGTTATCGGTGATTCACAAAGCCCGCAAGCCGCACGCCTACAAGAATATGGACATGAACAAGCTTAATGTCCACTGGCTAACCGCACGTAAGGCGTGGATGTCCTCTTCTCTGTCCCTCTTCTGGTTTGACAACTGTTTTGTTCCTGACGTGCAGAAATTCTGCGAGCAACAGAATGTTTCATTCAATATTTTGTTGCTCCTTGACAACGCACCAGGACACTCGCCCCTACTTATGGATCGTCACCCCAACGTAAAAGTGGTCTTCCTTCCTCCCAACACTACGTCATTAATCCAGCCTATGGACCAGGAGTTGATCTGCAATGTGAAAGCTGCGTACTCTGCAAAGAAGTTCAAGCTCCTGAACGACTCTACCAACACCAAGGATGAGTTGCGTAAGCTGGGTGACACCGACAGCGAGAGTAAAAGCGACGAGGACAAGGAACAAGAGGCGGCGACTCAAGAACTTCTCGTCAAACAATTTTGGAAGAAGTTTAACGTTAAACAAGCTGTAGACTTCTTGGTGGAGGCATGGGATCTGCTGACTATTGCTACGATTCGTCACGCATGGAGACATGTGTTGCATGGCATACCAGGTGAGAGGAGGAGTGAACCTGTGACTGGTCAGGTTCAGACTGTTGCAGTAGCAGTGGACCTTGCCAGAGAAGCTGCGCTCAGTATTACAGCTGAAGGCTTCTCCGAGACCACCAACGAAGACATCATGGAAGTGATCAGAGATCCTGAAGTGACTGCCGACGAGATGTTGGAAGAAGAACCCGCCAGTGAAGAGGAGGAAGAAGGTGCGTCATTCTCCGAAGAACCTAGTTTAAGTCATAGTGATATTAAGTGTCTCATAGAGTTTACAGAAAAAATTAAGTCCATCGTTTCCCGCGACAATGACGATGAACGCCATGACGTCTTCCATACCCGACTGGTGCAGGCTATGGAGCCGTACATCAAGGTGTATCACGACAACATCAACACCAGCCGTCAGAAAAGCATAACCGAGTTCTTCGCCCGCAACCCACCACAGCCAGTCCAAGCCAGTGATAGTGAGAGTGAAGTTGATTTTGAGGGATTTGTCAGGGAAGCCATGACAACTGTAAGTGACAGTGATATTGATTCACCTAGTAATGGTGATTCACCTAGTAATGGTGATTCACCTGAGGGGCAGTAATCTGCCCTCTGCCTCGGAACCAGCCTCCATCCCCGTATGCCGACCCATCTCTTCTACTACCGTAAGTGTTCCGCAAAAATTTTCGTTTTTTAACCTATTCTTTATTTTTCCTATGTTAACCTTTATCTTTCCTAACCTAACCTCTTCTATATTACTTGTTTTTCATGCCACCATAAAGTTAAGATAGAATTTTTACTACAACATAGTTATTTGTCGTCAAAAAGTGGAGTTTGGGGGTCGGGCTGGGTTCTATTGGAATTAATCCCATATGTTCTGTTGTTCACTTAACGCGGATTTCACTTAGCGCGGGACCCTCTGGGTTCTATTGACCGCGTTAAGTGGGGTACAACTGTACCTCCCATAAGGATCTTCAATTCAGTTAACGAACAAAACTCCGATTAACGAAATCCTTACGAAAATCACGTTTTGTTGTGAGCATCAACTGGTCAGCTAATGGACTGGTCTGCCGATTCAATTAACTGTTCTATGTTTACATTTGTTTCCAGTGGAGTAAATATCAAGAAAGTTGGTGTCTTGAATATTTTTGCACTTTTCATTGAAATTGTTGGTCAATCTGAACTTTAGTTAACATATTGATAATACATAGCACAATGCAGTGCTGATTTAAATAAAATAATCTTGAATTACACATAGTAAACTTAAAATTTTATTGGTGAAATTACTGCATCAAGCATGGGTCCAAAGAAAGGTGATTTCTCCTCCACCCCCACTTCCTCCTCTTTTTCTCCTCTACCCTCATTTATAATTCCCATCATCATCAACCAGGAACCTTCTACATACACATCTCAAAGTAAGTGTACTTTACTGCATTTTTTTTTTACTTTGTATGTACTTTTCTGTGAGCTGGAACCAATTACCCAATAACCCATTGAAACAATGGATTCGGTTAACAAACGACCCTCTGGGACGAATTGTGTTCGTTAACCGAGGGACCAGTGTAGACTCGCAACTTACGCGGATTTTTCTTATGCGGTTTCAACTATACGCGGATTACCCCGGGGGTGAGGTTACAATTTCCAATTTCAAACTCAAAATTTTCAAAATGGGTCGCAAGCCCGCCAAACGCACTACTCAGCCATTCCACCTCTGTCTGTCTCAGTTGCCGCGCGTGTATCGTCAGAGTAACACCTGCCTCTCATGTGTGTCAATTTAGTGCACTTAAACCTCTCTCATACTTGTTCAAAATGCCCAAACACAAGCCAACCTCTGCCTCTGGTCCTCCAACCAAGAAACAATGCTCTGTGATAACCCAGGAAGAAAAAGTGGTCGCGCTAGACTTAATATAAGGCGGCATGTCGATCGCTGCTGTGGCACGGAGGTACGGATGCAACGAATCAAGCGTGAGGTCCATTAAGATTTGGGAGAGGGAAATTCATAAAACAGTGTCTAAAAGTGCCTCATTTACTGCTAAGGTGACTAGCCAGGTTAGAGATGTAACTCTAGTGAAGGTGGAGAAGGTATTAAACATGTGGGTGGAGGTTATGAACCAGAAACGTGTCCCCATCGACGGCAACGTGCTCGGGGAGAAGGCACTGAGTCTTTATGACCAGTCCAAATCTGAGGTTCCTGAGGGCGAAGCATCCAACAGCTCTGAGAAGAATTTTAAAGCCAGTGCAGGTTGGCTCAACAGTTTCAGAAAGCGTTTCAACCTGAAAAATATTTGAATCACTGGTGAATCGGCATATGAAAAGGGGCAGCTGCACGGGTGTTCCCAGAAGTGACCTTCAGCTGCCCACGTCCTCCCCTGCATCGTTATCTGAGCTTGATGATCCCCCCACAGTGACGTGGGAAGGAGATGAATAATCTCAAAACAACAACACAGGTCTGTCTACATAATGTCTGTGTTCTATTAATGCTGTTATGCACTTGTTACAGATGTTGACAATACATTCCAGAAGTGATTTATGACTTCTGGTGTATAAGTATGTATTATAGTGATTTAAGGGCGATTTAGGGGATTTTTAGGAGTGTTTCTAACTTTGCGCGTTTTTTGGCTTTAAGCGGGGTCCCGGGAACGTAACCCCCGCATAAGTTGCGAGTCTACTGTATTTTGATAGTTACAAAATATACTTTGTGTAAAATAATCTATCATTATTATTAAAGAAAAACAATTTCAGGAAAAGAATAATGTAATCCAATTACCTGTATATAAGTAATTACACAATTTCAAGAGAGAGAGAGAGAAAGAGAATGATAGGTACATAACTTGGCAATACTGTTTAGAAGAAAAAAAGTTTTATCACGCGGTAAAAAAACATTTACATCACTAGTCCGAGGGACTTCACTGTGGTGAGGTTGAGATCATTAGTACATTTACTCTTTTGAGTTTTATTTTTTATCCAAATAATATTGCTTCAATCTTTCCAAGACATGGGGATAATTTTTGATCTATCAGCCATTGTCTGCATGACTCCAGGCCAGATGATAACTTGCTAGTACCATAATATCTTTTGGGACTTGACCCAACAAAAAAAGGGCACTGTCATCAGCATACAACAAAATTTTGCAATAAAAAATGGGCATGTCATTTACATGACAAAGCAAGAGCGAGGAAACTCCCTTGTGGGACTCCACAGGCTATCAATGTGGATGTTGACTCAGAATACTGTAGTGTACAAGATCATGATGCCACCAACCACACCTTCACATCTACCAAAGTCACACTCACCTGCATATCACCATTGGGTACTTTTCTTGCACTCGTCATCCTGCAGATCTGGAGAAGAAAAACCTTGTTAGTCTCTCAAAACTAAATTGTCTTGTAATATAAAACTTGTTATTTTGGGATCAGTACACCACAACACTGATGAAAATAACAATTCAGTGTTAATGAACACATAGCATAAAGAGATGATATATTCCATTAAGGATAAGAGAGATTATTCACTATTAAAACATAAATAAGCAAATACCAGTACAGTACAGTACAGCACAACACAGTAAAGTACAGCACAGCACAGTATGGTACAGCACAGTACGGTACAGTACAGTACTGTACAGTACAGCACAGTACTGTACAATACAGTACAGCACAGTATGGTACTCTAATTAAGACCTGCCCATGAGCTTTGTTAGCACAAACTGTATGTACATGGACAACGAACTGAAGTTCTCGGGCCACTGTGAAAAGAAGGTAAGTTAAGCTAATATGACCTACTAGCTTATTTGGTTGACTTACCTTGTAAGAAAGGTGTTCACATACCTATATGGTCTGTCACTCAAAACACTCTTCAATAGTGAGGTTTCCCTGTTTGGAGTACTACCAACCCATCTGGAGACACTCAGTTTATTGAAGATGTCCAGAAGAGGGTCACCAGACAGGTGTCTCACTCAAGAATCTCAGGTACCCAGAGAGATTAGAACACCTACAGTTGCCTAGCATATACTAAACAGTAGACGGGCAAGGGGTGACTTAATACAAGTCTATATGGTAAGCACCTCAAAGGACATTACTGCCGAGTGTTCGTGCCTGGAGCCAGCTGATGCCCGCCCCAACAGAGGTCAAAGCCCTACAGTAGGTTAAAGAAACCAAAATTTCAGAAAATTGTCAGGGCAAATTTTTGGAATCAGTGTTGTGTCAGCACCGTGGGTAAGCTCACTAGACTTGAACAACAGTGGCACAAGTTCAGGTACATTCTAGAACCAGTACATGCCAGGCACTACAGCCTGTACTGTACTTGCAAACAGTGTAGCTAACTGCTCAAATGGCTAATTGCAGGTAAAATAATCAAGGGTTACTAATTTTCATGAGTGTTAATGTTTCACCTAAAATAAAAATCAATAGGAAAAATGTACAGAATTTCAAAAAATTATATGCAGAGCTGCATTCAATGACTTCCGAAATGCTACATGTAACTCGTGATGTCCCTGGAGGGTTGGTATGCGTGGCCCTGTGGCACACTGATCCTTCTAAATTTGGAAACCGAACAATATATTAATTACACCCAAATTAATACACATTGCATTACAAATGTTAAACTGTATACCAAAGTAAATGCATGTCCCAATATCTATCATCCATGGTGTCATAATGCTTCACACCAATATCAAGAGTGTAGCTGTAAGCCACTATTTTACAGTATATTGGATCACATTTTCCTATAGTCTTCTATAATATAAGCAAAGATGAGTTTTTAGGACAGAGAAAACAAGTCATAAACAAAAAATTCCCAAAACATCTTAAAATGGTACAAAATTATTTTAAGAGCCAGCACTGACCGCACATTGCTGTACTATCACTGGATTTGATTTTAACCCCTTTGATGTGATACCCACTTCCTATCTGGTAAACAATGCCAGTGGGATCGTCACACCATATGCAGTAAAAATTTTCCCATCTATGCTTATTAACAGACAGACTTGTCTGTTTGATCAGCTGGCATGTACAGAGGCGGCCGTGACCCACATAATTATCTTGAAGCCTGCCAGTGTCTTAACAGTCAGGGCTCAGAGAAGACATGCATCCAAGCATCCCTGCCAGTGTCCAAGATATCAAGGAGCATTTATGGTAACAACGAACATGTGGTTAACCCAGGATATGATAATGGTCGAATGTGTGTGTGTGTGTGTGCGTTGAATCACTCACGTCATGCCTTCTTCATCAATGCATACACCCTAACACTGGATGCAGAGGATGACATCAAGGAGGCCTTTTATGACGACCTTGACCAAGTGCTAACTTCTATCCCCAGAGAAGACGAGGTTGTGCTCCTTGGTGACTTCAATGTCAGAGTTGGCAGAGATGCTAACATTTGGCAGGGAACCATAGGGAGAAATGGACTAGGCAAGTGTAATCCCAACGGCCTACTCCTCAGCAAGTGTGCTGCACACATCCTCACTATCACCAATACAGTACTGTACCTTGTTTAGGCAAGCCAACAAATTCAAGAGTTCGTGGAATCACCAAACACTGGCATCTCATTGACTACATCACTGTCAGAGAAAGAGATCACCGAGATGTCCTCATCACCCGTGCCATGCGTGGTTTAGACTACCGAAACACTGATCATTGGCTTCTCAGATCCAAGCTCTCACTTCATGTCGTCCCAAAACAGCGAAGGCAGCAAGCCTGGAGGATCCAGTGGTAGCACATGCTTTCAGAGAGCAGCTCGAACAAGGGCTTGTAAACAATCCAACTGCAAACAACCCAACTCCCAGTGCCGAATAGGATATTCTCGACACTGTTATGACAAAACCTGCAGAGACCCTCGGCCAGGTCGAAAGAATACACCAGGACTGGTTTGATGAAAATGAACCGGAAATCAATGTACTCGTCGATGATAAACATGCTGCTTTAACTGACTGGCAGAACAGCCCTCAGTCGAGAACCAAAGCTGATACCTTCCACAAGAAGCAAGCGGCAGCCCAGCGGGAACTTCACAAACTAAAGAATGACTGGTTTAAAAATAAAGCATGTGAAGCACAAAAATTTGCAGATAAACAAAAGATGCAAAAATCTTTCAATTCCACTAAAACGTTTTATGGGCCAATCACTCTTGGCAAAGCCCCTATCCACTCATCCGACGGTAACTGCCTAATTAAAGATGAAGAAGGCATCCGTCAGCGCTGGAAAGAGCACTACCATTCGCTGCCAAACTGAAACACTGATGTGGATGTCCTGACTACCCAGCAGGTCCCTCAGCATCCAGAGCTGACCCACCTCAACTATCCTCCATCCCTGGATGAGGTAGCCACTGCCATCAAACAGATGAAAAATAACAAAGCCTCAGGGTCTGATGGAATCTCAGCTGAGGTGTATAAAGCAGGAGGACCTCTGCTTACCAGCCGTCTCCACTCTCTCTTGGAGAATACAGTATATGGGAAAAGGAGGAAATCCCTCAAGCTCTTTAAGGTGCCTCCATCATCAATATTTAAAAGAACAAGGGAGACCAGTCAGACTGTGGCCACTACCACGGGATCTCGCTGCTGTCTGTAGCTGGCAAGATTATCGCCCGAGTCCTCCTAAACAGACTACCACCAGAGGCAATAAATTTCCTCCCAGAATCTCAGTGTGGCTTTAGACCATCATGTGGCACCACTGACATGATCTTTGCTGCTCGCCAGATACAGAAAAAATGCAGAGAACAGCATCGTGACCTGTGCATGGCCTTCATCGACCTAGCCAAGGTCTTCAACCCGGTCAACAGGGAAGCCCTCTGGCCGGTTTGGCTGCCCACCAAAATTCATTGCCATTGTGAGTCAACTCCATGATGGCATGAACGGCAGTGTCCTGCACAATGACACTCAGTCTGAGCTCTTCTCCATCCAAATGGGGGTAAAACAAGGGTGTGTACTGGCGCCAACTCTCTCTTCCATTTTCTTGGCTGCCTTATTTACTCATGTCAGTGCCAATTTAACCGGCGGGGTGAACATCGAGTACCTGATGAAGGATCATTTCAACATAAGACGACTCCAGGCAAGAACAAAGGTGTCGGCAGCTTCCATTACTAAACTTCAGTATGCAGACAATCTCACCCTTGTCGCTCACATTGAATGCAACCTGCAGAAGATTCTGAACACCTACGCACACTTCGACCTTGAGGTGAATGTGCTTAAGACTCAGATTCTCTTACAGCCTGCCCCTGGTTCAGCCACACCTCCACATCCATCCATCTTAACGGTACTACCATCTCTAATGTTGCCCACTTTCAGTATCTCGGCTCCCACCTGTCCACCACCGCAGACATCGATGAAGAGATTCAACATTGGATCAGATGTGCATCTCAAGCCTTTGACAGACTCTGAAACTGTGTCTTCAACTGTAGGGAGCTGAAATTATCTACAAAGTTACACGTATATCGAGCAGTGGTCCTCCCCACCCTGTTATATGGCAGTGAGACATGGGTAACGTACAGGAGACACCTTAAGGCACTTGAAAACTTTCACCAAGGTAGTCTACGTTCCATCCTCAGAGTTCACCGGGAAGACAAGAAAACAAATGCAAGTATTCTCGCTGACACCAACTGTAGGAGCATCGAGGCTACCATAATCCATGAACAACTATGTTGGACTGGGCATGTTACCCGCATGGAAGAGAGTACACCGCCAAAGCAGCTATTTTATAGTCACGTAAGGAATAGTAAATGTAATGCTGGCGGGCAATTGAAAAGGTATAAGGATAGTCTTAAGACAAACCTGAAAAAGTGCCAAATCGGCCCCCTCACCTGGGATACGATTACTCCACATCGTAACGCTTGGAGGAGCACCACACAAGAAGGTGTCCATACTTTCGAGTTAGCCCGACTGCAAACTGAGGTAGACAAGCGTCAATGCCAGAAAGATGCTGACACCACCCCTCTCGCACTAGATGTAGCCCTCCACATGTGCAACATCTGTGAATGACCTTGCAGGTCCCATATCAGCCTCTTTAGTCGCCTTAACACTCACCAACCTAGGTGACATCCCTAATAACTCGAATCATTGTATCATAGCTGGATGATCGTCATACTCGATTCCGAGTGACAGCAAAGTAGGTGTTCGGTGGAAGTGAGGTCAAAATAACAAAGGATGGCCAAAGACACCTAGGTGCAGTAATCGGCACAACGGTCTTAAGATCGAGTACATAACGGGAAAGGTGAATGAGAGGGTTAGGGGTTAGGGAAATCCTAGCTCTGTCTGAAATTGCTAACACAGAGCCACATGCGGCTATTGCGGCATTCACCCATGGAGTCAACCATTGCTGGAACTACCTGATGCGCACTATCCCTGATATCGGAC